TTGGACTCTGCGCCCAGCAGGGAGTCTGCTTAAGATTCTCTCTCCTTCTCCTTCTGCCCCTTCTGCTCAAACTCTCTCTCTTTCTCAAATAAATAAATAAATCTTTTTTTTAAATAGATAAAATTCTTGGGAACCAGGAATAACTCCAGGATTCCTTGAATTTCCTAGACAGATCACTTGACCTTTAAAGGGACATTCATCTAATTGGAGCTTAGGGAAATAAATCACAATGTATGAGGGTGGAAAACACTGTCCAGTACTAGAGGAATTTTTAAAATATAGGGCATCCTAAAAGAAAAATAGGGCATCCTATAAAGTAACAAAAAGCCCTCTTTACCTTGGCATTAATCATTCTTCAATATATTTATTTATAAATTGAAAACAAGCTACAGTATGATGTGCATAGTATACTAGATTTTTGTGTCATAAGTATTGTAAATTTCTATTTATTTTATTCACTTGTGTTCCCAGCCTTTTACAAAGAAAATCAAAAACATCAAATAAACACTGGATCTATATACAGGAAACCATTCTAAATTGTTAACCTATATAAGCAAAAGAAAATAGGGTAGACAAGAAAAGTGAAGTCTTGTAATTTCTAAATGTTTATCTTCTTATATACCTTTGATTTATGAAAAACATGGCAAAATTTATTTTTAGAAGTGAAATAACATGAATTAAATCCTATGATTATATAATCATATGGACTACATGAAACTGTAACTGAGCAGTGTTTGAGTGAACGGTACCTGGTGACTGGAGAAAGGTGATGTACAGAGACATGAGTTTTTCAGTGAGTTCTAAGACTCTGCCTTTAGGAAGTGATGCCTACAGAGATACCCTGAAGGAAAAACAACAGACTGATTGCTGCGTGTGGGGGGTGCAGTGGAAGGGGCAACATGTACCATGGCATGTGGGGGAATGAGCAGGACAAGCACATGGTGATAAGACAGCCTGGTGAGGCTTTACCTTTGACAAGAGAAGGAGCAAGGCACTGAGTGACAGGCCATGTAGGGTTTCTTGGTCAGGAGGACTTATTTAGTTTACATCCTTAAAGCAGGACAAAAATATTGATCTGTTTTTTTTTTTTTTTAAGATTTTATTTATTTATTTGAGAGAGAGCATGAGAGGGGGGAGGGTCAGAGGGAGAAGCAGACTCCCTGCCAAGCAGGGAGCCCGATGCGGGACTTGATCCCGGGACTCCAGGATCATGACCTGAGCCAAGGGCAGTCGCTTAACCAACTGAGCCACCCAAGCGCCCCGATATTGATCTGTTTTAAGCAAGAACTATATTCTGTAAAACATCACCTCTGGTTGTGGCATGCAGTTCTCATTGGACTATGTCCTGAGAAAGGGACAGACCCTTGAAGGTATTCACATATGGATATGTTGTAGTTCAAGTTCTGGTGACGTCTAAGGGCATGGAAATATGTCAATATATATTTTGAAATAATTTGGAAACAAAAATCAGAATTTGTGATGGATTTTTTCTTTTCTTTTTTTTTCTTGGAATAAAGCTGGACTTCAGTTTCCCATAATTAAATTTCACAATCCAAGTCTGTTTTCACCAAGAAATAATCAACAAAGCAGATATTTTTACATGAAATTCAGTACACTAGTATTTCAAAGAAACACGTAAGTACAAAATTAACATTAAAAATATAAAAGATAACATTTATTATAACACATTTACGCCCCAGAAAAAGCAACAGCCAGACAAATAAGATGTTTACAATTTCAGGAAGTTCCTTAAACACTTATAAAAGTTATTTTGATACATGATGTCTTCTCAGTTCACAAAACTATGTGTTTGAATATACGATCTCAATTTAAAAAGCAACATGTAAGTAAATGTTCTCTCTATAAAATATTTCTAACTTCCTATACATTCTGTGAAATTTCATAAAACATTCTTGTACTTTTGTAATCAAAATATAATTAACTATAATTTGACTTTTATTTTGAGGTTTTCTCATTTTTTTAATACTTAAACTTATATCTGAAATTTTTTTATGCTCTTACACTGTTTGATGAAGATCACCAGCAGGATAGAATTTGAGATTCCATGATAATCTGCTTTAAGGCACCCTGTTGGAAGGAAATGTGGCACTTACTATTATTACTAGGATTACACCTTTCCTATGAAACCAACTTTGTTGCAGTTTTTGAAAGTAAGAACAAAGAATTTACAAAAATATAACAATGGGATGAGAATGAAGGAATTGAATAGGCAAGCTTCTTTTATATGTCTTTATTTTTTTGGAGATAGTAAATTTTTTTTTTTTAAGATTTTATTTTCTTGACAGAGAGAGACATAGCAAGAGCAGGAACACAAGCAGGGGGAGTGGGAGAGGGAGAAGCAGGCTTCCCGCAGAGCAGGGAGCCCGATGTGGGACTTGATCCCAGGACCCTGGGATCATGACCTGAGCTGAAGGCAGACGCTTAATGACTGAGCCACCCAGGCGCCCAGTAAATTGTTTTTAATTAAATACATTTTTGGATTATTTAAGTGGTAGCCTTTTTAATGAAAATAGATAACAATAGTAAAAGTAATTAAAATATATAACAATAATAATTTGTTCCCTAATTTATAAAAGTAATAGTTATCTTTCATAAAACAATGTTCTAGTTCAACATCTTTTTTAGGTCTTTAAATTGCAACTGGAGTAAGTAACATACTCTCTTTGATGAATGTCTCAAAAACACCCATGGCCCCTGGTTTGAACTGGCATTAAAAAAAAAAAAATTCCAGTTAGAGCTTTGGGATGACTAGCATAATAAAGAAGTGGAAGATTTAGATATAAATTCTGCCAAAAATTAGGTAAATATTACTATATTAACAGGATAAATAATTATCTGTTCAATTGTGGGTGGTTAAGTACATGTCATACAAAATATACCACTTTGGTATATTGCCTATTTTGAGCTGAAGTCACTTGAGAGACAGAATATGCAGGAAGAGCTCTCTGACTTCCCTCTTTCTACCTCAGGAGGTCATAGCACTTCCTATGAAAGGTGCACACCTGGGCCCAGGCAGAGAACATTCTTATCACTGTAGATTGGGAGTTGAGGTTGAAATGCACCTGTAAAACAAACCTACCAAAACGACCCTTGTGTCACTTTCCCATAATTTACTGCTCAAGCCTATCTGTCTTGTCACATACCCACAATTTCTCCTTCTTTGTTTAAAAAGGTATATAAGCTTTTGGGCCAAAATGCTTCTTCAGGTTCATTTTCCTTTTGAAGACACCTATGTGCACATGGAAATTAAAATAAAATGTGTATGCTTTTCTTCTGATAATAGGTTTCATGTCAGTTTAATACTTAGTCTTAACCACAGAACCTAGGAAGGTAGAATGAATTCTTCCTCTCCTGCAGTAGGATGGCATACAAAACAACAGCGCATTGGTACAGAATGTTTCCCTGTTACTGTGAGAATTGTACGTAGCTTTTGATATTTCAGTGGGAAAGGAAGTGTTAGAAAAAAATGATGTATGGCACAAGTTTTTCATTTATATGTATAGGTAATTTATACAATATTTTCCATCAACGTGTTCTGTTTTAAAAATAAAAACTAAGAATTCAAGAAAAATATACTTTTGATATATACTAGTGTAAGGAAAATTTTAAGCATTGGCATTTGTAAGAAACTCTTGATTTTGTTATATACTTTTGCCATTAAAATAAATTATTTAGAATCTTAGTTGCTTAAAATAATGCCTCTAATAATATAATCTACATATCAGTTAACTGGGGATCTTGTTGAGCTGCATACTTTCATTTAAGAGGTCTGTGCTTAAATAGGCCATTCTAACAAAGCTCCCAGATTATTCTGATGCTTCTTGTGCACTGATCACACTTTGAATGGAAAGACTTTAGGAGGTGATCAAGTGGAAAACACTTATGCTAAAAAACTTTGAAATATGTATTTCCTTTAGCTCTCTTGTCATCCCATTTCTTACTAATTTTAGTATTTGAAAAATGTAAAGCTTTTTCATTAACAAAAGAAGGTAAACAGTGAAGGAAAATCTGGTTTGGGTCTCTTTTTTCTATTTTTTTCTTCTCTCCTTCTGAATTAAATTAGTTTATTTAGCTTGAATATTTTATAAAAATCTAAGAGAGTTGATACTTGCTTTACCATGATAGATATCCCATTACTGTACTGCCCAGATCTAAGTTTTTCCTTTCCTTCTCCCTCTACATCTTTTTTTTTAAGATTTTATTTATTTATTTGACAGACAGAGACACAGAGAGAGAGGGAACACAAGCAGGGAGAGTGGGAGAGGGAGAAGCAGGCTTCCCGTGGAGCAGGGAGCCCAATGTGGGGCTCGATCCCAGGTCCCTGGGATCATGACCTGAGCCAAAGGCAGATGCTTAACAGTCTGAGCCCCCCAGGTGTCCCTCTCCCTCTACATCTTGATCTTCTTACCTCTGCTAATATTTTGAAATTGAATTATCAAGAAAAATCTGAATCATCCAGTATTTTCCTATTTTTCTAATGAAATTTTCCATTTATATTTACATGAATAATTAAAAAAAACTATTTTAAAAATAGTGCTGGCTTATCTATGTATTTAATACATGTTAATTTAGTAAATTATATTCATGGTCAAAATGATATGTTTATAATAGAACAACTACCAAATGGAGTAACACTGCTACATTCAACAGAAATAATCTTTGGTTCATGATTATTGATGAGGTGTAATTATGAAAATAGTCAACTGACCTATGGGACTAAGCCAGCCCATTTTCCTATTGTGAATGACTTGTGGGCAGGGAGCTTGTGTGCTTTATCTCTTTATTATTATGACATTGCACTGACATTTTTAAACATAGCAATTCTAGAATATCTATTGTAGTAGAATTCAAACCAAAATGAAAAGTACTGAGAGATGTCCTCATTAGGTGGTATCAATTTTATAATACAATTTTCAATATTTACCATTTGCAAATGTGTTTTAGGAATCCACTCTAAATTGATCATTTTAGAGTATCTCTCAAATCCTTTGCAGGTTTCTAGTCAAAAGCAATCTTTTTCTTGCTAGAACTTTTCTGAAAGCTTTCTTCACATCTTTGTTTCGCAGTGTGTATATGAGAGGGTTTACCAAAGGGGTAACCACACAGTAGAACACTGAGATCACTTTACCAATAGTGAAGTTGTACTTGTCTGGAGGGCGAACATAAGCAAAGATAATGGTGCCATAATAGATTGAGACCACAGTGAGGTGGGAGGCACAGGTGGAGAAAGTTTTCTTCCGAGCCTCCCGGGAAGACAGCCTGATTATTGTGACCACAATGTGTCCATACGAAGACATAGTGAGAAGGCAAGAACTTAGAATCACGACAGAGCTACATGTATAGCCCAAAGCCTCCACCAAAAATGTATCTGAGCAGGAGAGTTTAAAAATGGGGTCTGAGTCACAAAAGAAATGGTTGATCTTCTGGGGACCACAAAAGTTTAGATGGGAGATGAGTATGGTTGGTAGGAGAGGAGCAATGAAGCCCCCAATCCAAGATCCAGCTGAAAACCGCAGGCACAGCTGAAGACTCATGAGAAGTGAATACCTTAAAGGGCTACAGATGGCAAGGTACCGGTCATAGGCCATCACTGCCAGCAGGATGCACTCTGTAGCTCCCATGGAGAAAAAGAAGTAGTACTGGGTTATACAGCCAGAAATAGAGATGATAACAACCTGTGAGAGGCAGGTGGCCAGCAATTTAGGCACTGTGGCTGTGGTGTACCAGATCTCCAGGAGTGACAAATTTCCTAAGAAAATGTACATGGGTGTTTGGAGTGTGATATCCATGAGAACAATGAAGATGATGAGGGTATTTCCCATGAGGGAGAGCAGATACACAGTGAGAAATATCACAAACAAGGTGAGCCACAGATAGAGAACACCAGAAAACCCAAGAAAAATGAACTCTGTCACTGTTGTTTGGTTTCTTACTTCCATATCTCATCTTCTCTGGTCTGGAATAAACCAACAAAGCCCAGAATATGGCAGATTAGCAAGAATGGAATATTTTTATATTCACTTATTTCATGATAATAGACTCCTAATTATAATAAAAGTTAATAGCTGGCTATAACATAGTTGGTGTCTTTATAAACATTTTCCATGGATGAGCTCACTTGACTTACAAAATAATCTCCAAAATAAATAGTCTAATAATCTACTCCACAAATGAAGAAAAATTAGAGAGTAAATTACTTTTTTAAAATTTTTATTTTATTATGTTATGTTAATCACCATACATTACATCATTAGTTTTTGATGTAGTAAATTGCTTTCTAATAGTTACACCACTTTAAGTGGTGGAATGGACTTTGTACCCATGTAGGTTGTTTTAAAAGACCACAGTCCAGGGGTTCCTGGGTGGCTCAGTTGGTTGGGCATCTGCCTTTGGCTCAGGTCACGATCTCGGGGTCCTGGGATCAAGCCCAGCATCAAGCTCCCTGCTCAGTGGAGAGCCTGCTTCTCCCCTTCCTCATGCCCCACCTTGTGCTTTCTCTCCCTATTTCTCTCAAATAAATAATCTTTAAAAAATAAAAACAATAAAAAATAAAAAAAAAACTACAGTCCAAACTAATATATAAAATATGGCTATTGGAAGAACATGGCATTGTTTCATCTTGAGGAATTAACACCCTATGCATTAAAGGGTGGTAAACTTAACAATGTATGTCAGAGGCCATTGGATAGGGGAAAGGGGACCTTTAGAATGCAGGTCCTACTCCATATCAGTTGCCTTACAAATACAAAGGATTGCCTACAATTTTAATTGTGTGATCCTCATTATATGTCATCACTTAGGTTTTGGTAAAAGAGTAGTACATGAGTTCTCCAGAAAACAAAACAAACAAACAATGTAGAATTCAACATTAATATAGAAGACTTGTTTTTTTTTTTTTTTTTGAATCATTGCATTCACCAGTATTTCTACAGTGGTTAGGAACAGTCAAGCAAATAATTTCAAAGTCAGAAATAAATTTATCCTTCAGTGGACATAAGATGAGTTTCCATAGCTTGGATATTGAGAAGGCCAACTTCATATGAGATATATACAATTACCAAATTTTGGAGTGTACAAAACAGTACAACTATAGTTATTTTAAGTATTCTTGCCAAAATTAAGAAAAAAACAGAGAAATCTTATTTGTAGAGAAACAAAGTATTTCAGTGGGTTATTCCAGTATACATGTGCATTAAGGCCAAAATATCAAGATGATAGAAATATAGGCTAGAGAAATTATTAGTACCCATAGTAAAAACATTATCTTATATGTAAGTATGTACATAACTATTTCTTTTTTTTTAAGATTTTATTTATTTGCAAGAGAGAGAATGAGAGACAGAGAGCATGAGAGGGAGGAGGGTCAGAGGGGGAAGCAGACTCCCTGCCGAGCAGGGAGCCCGATGCGGGGCTTGATCCCGGGACTCCAGGATCATGACCTGAGCCGAAGGCAGTCGCTCAACCAACTGAGCCACCCAGGCGCCCCTGTACGTAACTATTTCTTTAAGTCCCAGTTGTAAAGACATACACTTGATATCCCCTATATCACAATGAAAAATCAGTTGAATGTAATGTGAAGGCAACTGAGTTCATATGTACATATCCAAGCTAAACATTTTTGGAGGCTGTACCACTATTCAGAAAGGTTTTTAAGAATATTATGACTAGCAACCAATGTAGAATTTATAATTTAATAAAATTTTGGAGGAAAAATGGGCTAATTTAAAAAATATATTTTATTGATTTTGTTTCTCTGGTTCCATAAGAAAAAAATTGATATTTGTATCATTCGTATATGATCAAGTGTCCAAAGTAACTCATCGCCATTATGAATAAGACATTGAATGACTCTTTTTCTCCTACCATTAACAGTAAGAACAAAAAATAAGTATTTGGAAATAACGCATATAGAGCTTTCACAACAGAATCAGATGAGCATTATTCAAAAAAAAAAAATCCCTTTTCTTTTCTTTTTTTTTTTATCAGCACCATGGCCCATATCTTTTCTTTTTTTTTTTAAACTATGACAATTATTTAATTCTACTTTTAGCAAAAAATATGGTTATTTTTAACTCTAGTTGTATATAACCTTAGGAAGAAACTGGATGATAGAGAAATTAATTTTAATCATTTAACACTTCTATAAAAAGAAAATAATATTTAAATATGAATAGGGTCATATATATATACATTTAATTTGGTGGTTTTAATTGATAAGCTATAGTTTCTCATTCTACATGCCAAATGAATGTCTAAGGAGGTATATTGCCTTAGATTAAAGTAATAATCCAAAATGATTCAAGTCTTCTTATATAATATCTCCATTACTCTCTAGAAAAGTAAGAAATAACATGGATTATATCTCCCCAGATATACTCACAGCATATGCTCTGTTTGGTTATTTTTCAGAAATGGAATACATTAGTTAAAATTTCTTTAAAATTTCCTTTTCCAGCAAGGCTATGTATTAGACTATACTACATTTAATTAAATCATAAGGGGAATTAGCTAAGGAATTTCCTCACTGCTATGTCATTGGCTGTGGCATACCATCTGTGCTACAGATAAACACCAAATTCTTTTTTTTTCCTTTTTCTTCATCTCTCTTTTTAGCGCCTGTTGCCAGGATGCAGAGAGAACATGGTCTGAGATCCCCCTTGTAAAGAAGAGTTAGGATGTCATCAGCATTGAGCATTGGAAACCTGTCTTCTACCTTGGGACATATACATAGATTCCCTGAGGATTTTTCTTTAGTGAGGGTCAGAGTACTTTTCCCTTGGCGCTGAAGAAAGTGCAAAGCCGCCATGGCAAACATTTAAAATGCCTTCATAGTAACTGAAAGAAAAGACTCCTAAGGGGCTTCATTAGCTGCCCGCTGTCTAAGGTATTCACTCTTCCAAGTATGATTGTAGATTTGTATTTCTCAATATTGAAGCCACTGAGGCATGGCCAGAAGACAGTATTCTCTAGCATAAAAAGTACAAACTCAGAATTGAAAAGTTTCCCTTCCAATAATAGAACTATACAGTAAGCAAAACAAAACGAGCAATATTCTTTTGACAATTTTTAATAACAAATAACTAAAAAGCATTTACTGAATATGTGTGGAAAACAGTATTGTCCAATATAGTAGATATCAAGATTGAGACATTTGACAAAAGATTTATTTTGCAGAAGCAGGGAATATGTGCATAGTGAATATGAAAGTCTGGCAAACCTTTGTGTCAGAAGAAAAATACAATCTAGCAGATGAAATTTAAAAATCTAGATGATATGCACATATGTGTGGTGATAAGGGAATTTATAATTTTGAACTAGTTCAAATTATTCATGGAAAATCATGTTTATTTAGGATATTGTTTTAATGAACCTTGGTTATTTCATATGCTACATAAAATAAAACTAAATTCTTATGCATAAATGCCAAGTAGATCCAACATTTATTTTTGAAAAGAGAAATCACAAACCCATTGATGTCCATGAGGAAGTTAAAGTCACCAGGAAATATTTAAAAAATGTATGGAGGCAGTTTGCAGTATGTGAGATTTGGGTTTCATATATTGAAAAGGCATATTTCAAGTCAGAAAAAAAAGATGAATTTATTTCTAAAGGGAAAAGGAAATATAATTTTAAATTAAATTTTAGAGCAATGAATTTACATATGATAAAATGCACCCATTATAAATAGAGTCTAATGAGTTTTGACAAATGTATAAACACATGTAACTAAAAACATAGTCAAAGTCCATCATCTCTCATGAAAAACAAACTAAGGACTCTAGAGGGGAGGGGGGTGGGAGGATGGGTTAGCCTGGTGATGGGTATTAAAGAGGGCACGTTCTGCATGGAGCACGGGGTGTTATACTCAAATAATGAATCATGGAACACTACATCAAAAACTAATGATGTAATGTATGGTGATTAACATAGCATAATAAAAAAAACAAACATAGTCAAGAAATATAGCCTTCTTATATAATCCAGAATGCTTCCTTATTCTCCGTGCACTCAATTCAATTCTCTCCTTAGACAAAAACAGATGATGGAGCATTTCTTATTTTGTTTTGGGCTTCTTTTATCTACCACCATAGGTTAGGAAAAAAAAAAAAGTTTTGAGAGACAGAGCAGGGGAGAGGGACAGAGAGACGAAGAGAGAATCTTAAGCAGGCTCCATCTCATGACTCTGAGATCATGAACTGAGTCAAAATCAAGAATAGGGCACTTAACATACTGAGCCACCCAGGCACACCAGTCTTCGTTAATTCTTGATATTGATAGTTTGTGTCTTTACTTTTCTCTTGATTAGAGACTTATAAGATTTGTTTTTTAATATTTTTAAGTACCAATTTTTTATTTCATTGACATTCTCTATTATTTTTTAAATCATTGATTTCTGCTTCTATTATTTTCCTTATGTTCCCTTGTTTATCCTTACTCTGTCCTTTTTTTAGTTTCTTAAGGTAGATTAGATTATTGATTTCACTTTTTATGTCCTAATATCAACATTTAAAACTACTATATAATTCTCTCTAAGTGATAATGCATCTGACAAAATATTTTCTAATTTCCCTGTGATTTTTCCTCTTATCATTGCTTTATTCAACTTTTTAAAAATATGTTTAATATTTTATTTTTTTAAAAGATTTTCTTTATTTATTTGACAAAGAGAGAGAGGCAGAGCACAAGTAGGCAGAGAGGCAAGCAGAGGGTGAGGGAGAAGCAGGCTCCCCACAGAGCAGGGAGCCTGATGTGGGGCTTGATCCCAGGACTCTGGGATCATGACCTGAGCCGAAGGCAGATGCTTAACTACTGAGCCACCCAGGCACCCCAAAAGTATATCAAAAGTAAATTGGAATGGTACCTAAATAAATGGACAACTAGCGCCAGTAGCAGTTTACAAAAAAATCAAGAAACCTTGGGAAAAGGGGAGAATATAACT